GCTGCAGCCGCTCGCAGCCCACATGGGGCTGCCTGTGCCTGTTCAAGACAGCACCGCGTGGGCTGTAAGCTGCTGCAGCAGGGAGCGCCAGCTGCAGGGCAGGTGAGGGGCCACTTTCCCCCGGGCTCCTTCCCTGCTCACAGTCCTCCCCTGCCCTTACCTGAGCTTCCCGCACCGGGGCAGCCACATGGTCCCACGCCACAAGCCCCTGCTGGAGCTTCTGGCTGTTGGGGCAGGGCTGGGCGGGCCCTGCTGTTGGGAGCCCGCCGAGCTTCCCATGGGTCCTACTGCCCCTGGTTTCTGTCATTTTTTAAAGGAACCAAGGACAGTTCAATATTCATTTTCTAAATTTTTAGGGGCCCTGCGAGCCGGATAGAATGGCCTTGTGGACTGGATCCAGCCCACAGGCTGTATTTTCCCACCTCTGGTCTAGCTGAACATACATCCTCAAGTACCACTTTAACACTCCAAAGATCTACCTCTTTGCCCATAACCTCTCTCATTCTGTTAATTTTGCATCTTATCCTTGACATTCAGCAACTCTCTGAAAACTAAATTCCTAATTTTATTTCCAGCATCCTCTCCATGTCTTTTTTAATAACCAGCTACCCCACTAATGTGTCTCTGACTCTCAACCTCTACATTACTTTCTCTTCCTCAAGTCCCTGGCTGTCAACACACCTAATCTTCTTCTATTGTCTCCATTAACAACTGCCTCCTTTACTCTTCTTGACATCAAAAAATACCTGGTTTCATGACTTCATTTCATCTCATTTCAACTTTTGCCTCTCATTCTTTGCCTCTCTTTTCACCTATTCAGCTTGTCAAGAACACTACTGCAAAAGTCATTTTCTTCTTCCACAGTTTCAGCTACTTCAGTGCTACATCCCTCCCTCCCTCAAGTTCCCCCACAAGGTATTTCCATATCAACTTTGCATTCATTCACTCACAGTTTCTTTCTTCCTATACAGCCCTGGCTTATCCATTTGAAAACTTGGTTCTGACCCTCCTCTTGCTACTTTCAATATAGTTGGATGCAAAACAACCACACAAAATAAGAAAATGCATTGAACTGACAATGCTTCTCTCCTTTTGTGTTTTTGATCCTCAATTTGTCTAATTTATATCATAAGAGACAAGGACATTGCTTTTATGCACATTTATAAATCACAAATGAGCACTAATGGCAGTGAGTGGACAGTGACAATAAAAGTGCCACTGCATTGCCAATGCGTCTCCAATTAAAAGTTAAACAGAATGCAGTAAAGTAAATCTAACAGGCCAAATAACACAATTTGGAGAAAAAAAAAAAACACAAAAGGAACAACTCATCTGAAATATAAACATAACTTATGGGGGAAAGAGATGTGGGGGGGGAAAGAAGACAACCAACCAATTTCAAAAGACAGAATCTTTCAACTTCTCCCAAACTAATTTTTAATCTACAGAAAAGTGACGCACAAATCTCTTCAGAAAAGTGCTAGTAAAAAGCCAATATTCTAGCAACTTAAGATTTTTGGCTATCTTCTAAAGAACTGGTATAGCGTAGGTGGTACAATAGTAGTTAGTTTTTTACATAGCTCTTGAAAGCTATGAACATGAACAATAACCCTGTGTTCACACGTTACTTGAAATGGTTTTGCAAAAATTAGTGGCTCTCTTTCAATGAAAAGTGGCTCATATGCAAATTTAAGGATATGTAAGGAACCATGTCCATACTACAAAAAGCAGCAATTAAGGATTGGTTTAGCTCATATTGAAAGACAACAATATGTAAGAGTACCTAACTGACATCACTGTTAACATAACATGGAACAAATCATGTTTAAGTTATGAAACTAACTGGGTACATCTAAAACTTTTTTAAAGTAACAAACTGCACCCAAGTCTGAGCATTCTTTAAAACAGTCACAGCAGGTACAATCCAGTGGTTTGTGGAAAAAGAAAAGACACTTAAAATTAGAATTAAGGTTAAGTTCAGGTCTCCTCTACACATTACAGGTATCCAGCAACTGACTGGTTAATTGTGCAATCACCTTGAGACCAGCTACTGTGCAAAGAGCTATCACACAATAAAAAGCTCAAACCAGCTATAAAGTCAGACCTTGAAAATCTGTATTAACTTTATAGCTGGTTGTTATCAAGCTTTACTTTGCACGTGTAGCAGGCTCTGCCCTGCGGCTGGGAGCCCCAGTAGCTGAGGTCTCCCAGCCACTGGGATGCCCCTTGCCCAGCCAGGGCTTGCTCAGCCCCTGCAGTTGTGGACTCTGGGACCCAGAGCCTCACAGCTGCAGACACTGAATCCCTGCAGCACGACCCCTGGCAAACCCCCAGGGCCAAAGGATCACTGCAGGGGCAATCCCTCCTCCCCCCACCCCAGAGCTGCAGAAAACCCCTAGAGCTAAAGGACTGCCACACCTGGGAGCCCCTCAACTGGGGTATGTGGGGCTCCAAGCCATGGAAGCATGCTTTAAACTTTTTCTTACATTAGGGCTTAACCCAGCTCACACTTTTAGTCACCCAGCACTCAAGTGGTGTTGGACTGGGCCCACTAAGGGGAATACAATGTAGATGTAATCTCAGTGTCTGTTTGGAAGAATTTCAGAGCCCTTTGCACAAATAAGTGTACACATAACAAACCCAAGGTCAAGTTTACAATACCATTTAATGTAAAAACTACAAGAACCAAGTACAATTACTGCTGAGCACCCCTTCACTACCAGCCTGAATTTGCTTTATATCCCAGTACTTGCAGGACATTAAAAGCCTCTTAAACAAATATTCCACAGGGATAATTACTTGTTAAATGAGCTCCATTCCAGTTGCCAAAGCAAACACATAAGGGGGAATAAAACAAGACCTCTGCAGACTAATAAAGCAGAAATGCTCTAACTAAACCATATTGCATGTATGCTCCAGCCACACACAGCCCTTCTTTTAGTAAGAAAACAATAAAAAAAGAAAAGAATTAAAGCATTGATAAGCATTTCTATTTCAAAAGTGTGTGCAATGAATATTAACTCCTTGCTACTGGTTTCTAGCAAAGCCTGGTGTGCTTTAAAGCTGCCAACACTTCATCTGCGATATCACGACTGTGCTTTATCAATCTCACTTAGCCTAGCAAACAGCTAGGAAATTATTAAACCTGTGGGACCTTGGGAAAGGGCAGGGGTGGGGAGAAGGAGAAGTGTTCTGTGACTCTTATCTGACACATGTTGTTGGTTCTCCCTACTGGTGGCCAAGAAAAGGGATTACAGGTAATATAAAGCTAAATGTGCTTCCCTAACATTACTTGTCCATTTAAGCATCCTTGTGGCATCTACAGTCACTGCTACATGATCAGGAATGGAGGGGATATGATCTTCATCAGTGGGGGGCCAACCTTTTTGGCAGGTGTGCCACAAATTAGCCTTGCATCATCCCTAAATGCCACTCTGATCCCCTTTCCCTGCCCAATCTACTGCGCTGCTCCCTGACTGATCTGATGTGCTTCCTGCCTTCTCTGCCACTGCCTGTACGCTCCCCAGTCTGCCATATGCCACGCACAGAGGCTGCCTGTGCCACATGTACTGCAGGTTGGCCACCCCTTATCTACATGGTCCTCTTTCCATTTAGACATGGTCCCTGCTAGCTATCAGTTGAGAACCAATTCTCCAAAAACCTCAAGGCACTAGTATTGCTGCCAAGAAGCACCACTTTTAAACGCTGAGTACTGAGACTATTTCAAGTAGATATTTGGGACACTAAAACCTCTCCCTGCCTACAAAATGTTGGCATGTGTTTTCACACTTAAATATATTTGTCCACATTAGATGCGTCTTTCAAGCCCTCAACACTTTTTAAAGCTATTACTTAATAAGGCACTGGGGGGACGGGGGGGGGTTGTCACCTAAACCATCTCATCTCTCATTCCAGAGCTCCTGAGAAAAAGGATTTGCTGTTTCTTTGGGGGTTTCTCTCCCCTATTCCTTTGCTTTTATGCTCCCATAAAAGCAACCAAGAGCACTCTGCACTCCATGGTCTTCATAAACACCCACTATGGATGTCCCAGTTTTGTACATTCAACACAAGTCACTTGCGCCTCAATTTTAGAAGCGCTCGGTACTGGATTGAAGTCTGCCAAACACACCAGTGCTTGGGACCTCCAGCAAACTCTCCCCCTGCCTCACACAATGCAGGCCACAACCTGGATATCCCAAACTGGCATGAATTAAAAAATATAAAAATATATAAATGAACAAAATATCAGACCCTTGGCCACATAAGAGCTGCCTGCTCTAACAGAGACAAACAGCTGGAATGAGGGGCTGCTAAGCAGGCCCAGAACTTACAGGCAACCAGGAGGAAGTCGTGGCTGAGGGCACCCCAAAACAAACCCCACAGACTGGACAGGACCATATTTGTTTTCAGTCTGGAGGGCTCATTCCCAGGAAATACCTGCTAAGAAATCCATGGTCCAGCTTGGAAAGATGGATGAGCCGCCAGGGTTCTGTTGGGGCAGATCTGGGTGAATCTGCCGGGGGGGGTCCATCCAGGTGGACCAGGGGAGATCCGCTGTGGTGGGCCCCGTCTGGGTGGAGCCAAGGGATCCGCTATGGGGGGTCCCCATCGGGGATCCACTGTGGGTGTTCCATCCAGGTGGACCTGGGGATCCACTAGGGGGATCCCATCCAGGTGGATCCTCTATGGGGGATCCGATCAGGGACCCACCATTGGGGACCCACCACTGGGGTCCCATGGGGGCATCCACTGTGGGGGTCCGATCTGGGTGGATGCACTGTGGGGCCTTGTAAAAGGCCCCCAAAGCCTACCCCCAGGGCCTAGGGTCAAGCTGAGAGGCGGCAGAGAGGGCATGGCAGGCTCTGCTGCGGCCAAGCAGCCAGGAGCAGCCCGGAGCTAGGGTGTCGCGGGCCGGGCAAGGAGGGCCAGGGCCAGGGCCAGGGCCAGGGCCAGGGCCGCTCCCAGCGCGCGGCAGAGTGAAACGGCCGCCCGGTTCGTACCTGTGTGGCGCTGCATGTTGTCGCGGAGCAGGTCCCCGCTGGAGAGATGCTTGAGGGCGAAGTGCTTGACTATGCGGGACGACACGGTGCCCTTGCCGGAGCCCGGCGGGCCCATGATGACGGCCCGCAGCAGCCGCGCCCGCACCCCCATGCCCCTCAGCGCCAGCCGGGACCGCGGGCGGCGGGTGCCGGCCTGGCCTGGAAGTACAACCGCCCGGCCCCGCCCC